GAAAGAGTAGAATCTAAGCCTGTTTAGTGGTGGTTTTTGAGACAATGATTTTGTTTTCCTTTTTCCATCTGTAGCATTAAGTAAACATACAGAGCACTGAATGTGAAGACAGCAAGGAGTGGGATTTCTATATCTGCTCCATGTATTTCAATATGACTCTTAAAAGAGTAGAGATGATATGTTATGATTTACATTTCACTTGTGCCCAAATTACTGTTTTTGCACAACAGAGACTGAAACAGAATCTGTTAACTCTATAAGAAACTTACACTTATGAATGATAGGAACAACACAGTGCATATTTAAATTACAGTAAAGAAAATTATATCCCTCAGTGTTAACATAGCTGAAAGTGATTTTTGTCTCTATTTGTGCACCACGTGAGTTTTCATAGCGATTTAATCATGGGATGATTCATTATGCATAAACCAGAAGAACCATTATAATCAAGCAGCACACCTTACCAGCACGAAACAAAGCACAGAATATCACCAGTGATTCCAGCGTCCGATCCCATAACTCGTGGATAAACTGCCCCACGTTTTCAAGAACAGCTCCTAGTCACAGCAAATTTAGTGCAGACCTTTGTAATATGTCCCAATGACTAACCACTTTTACTGGTAATTGGTGCTTTACTTCTGGTCTTTAGTTTGGATTTTTGCAACCACTGAATCTTGTTCTATTGGCATGCTAGTACTAAAGGTCAGCTTTCTGGCTTAGTAGGAGATTTTTGCACAGAGCAGTTTGGATTGTGTCCGCTTAGACCTAGAGCTGACAAGAGAATTAGGCTATCTAAATCTAAAGGCATATCCTCAAAAATCCAGGCTCACCCTGAAGATACCCCAAAAACTACAGCTACTGTCTCTGGAAGAAGCTGGGACTAGAGCTGACGAAAACCTCAGATGCCTAAAAGCTACACACCGCGCCACAGAAATGTCAGTGCTTGAAGTGGTGGCAACTTGTATCAGGTGTATAAGCTCTTGTGCAGTACACAGTGACTGCGGCAATCGCGTGGGGTCTAAAATGAGCAGCGTACAAATTAGCTGGTGCCCTGAAAGAGGCATGGTTAGAGAGTAGGAAAGAACAGTCTGTGGGAAAATGCTGCTGATGGGCTCATCTTAAAACGTGCTCCCAGTCATCCCATCTTCTATGTCAGGGAGCCTTTCTCCTGAAGGTAAGAGTCTGTGACTGGTAACGAGGCCCTGTTCTGTTCTTCTAAAATTAAGAAGTGGGAGGAGGAGTAGAAGGAAATGGTGGCACCGAAAGCCTGCTTAATGGAAATGTTGGGAAGAAAGACTGAAATGCAGGGTCCTCACAGTGCCTTTGATATCAACACCATCGTAGCTACTCTCCATTTTCTTAGTGGCCCAACAAAGACTTTCTGCACAGAGCCAGTGTTAACGGGAGCAGCACAGAGCACACCCAGGATGTACAGCCTGCAAGGTGGGAGACGTGGTTTGCACCACCTCAGATAGGAGTCTTTTATTTTCCAAGTGAATGCCCTAACAACTCATCCACTGCATTACAAGTGAGAAATCACCATCACAACTTTCTTCTTGTTGTGTGCTACTGGCTACCTCTGCAAAGCAAGGGGCAGGTGCCATCGCATTTTGGGGACGCTCAGTTTTATCAGGGAAGGCTTGCTGAGCCCAAGACTGCCTGAAGGCTCAAGACCCGCAGGGATCTAGGATGAGACCTTGGGAGCTGTAGGCACATACCAAGGCACAACACTAGGTGCCTAGGGAAATATTACAGGAACCGCTGACATGCCTATGGCATTTTAGCAAATACAGGGTGAGGTTATCAGCTGAGTGGGGGATTCACGTAAGGATTGTCATGGCAAGTCGCACCAACTGCCCACATCACGCAGCACCCTTTCTCTGGCAACAACCAGTTAAAAAAAAGAGCTACCTGATGATACACTGAGACTTGGGAGCCCTCCTGGCGGCTTAATAATTCCCCCCATTCCTAAATACCTATTTATTGCCATGCTTTAAGCCGTGTTTTGACAATGCTTAGTGCCTCACATCTTGCATACATCTAAGCCCCTCAATCCTGCCTTGCCTGTGGGAGCCAACCAAGTATATGTTTTTTTGGAGACGAGATGGTGATCAGTTCTGTTTAAAACGCAAAGACATCCCGTGTAGCCCTGAGCAGGGCGGTTCTCTAGAAATTTAAATGTTTCAGGCCCAAATCTTCCTTCTGATCATATCTTGTACCTTCCAAATAAATATTTCCACAACCAGATTAGGGAGGATACCACTTTCTCCTCCTGAAACTGTTCCACTTTGCATCTAATAGCATTTACTGGACTGAAGGGAGTGGCAACAGTATTGTTAACACACTCTGCTAGGAAGCAGAGCTGAGTACAGGTGCTATTTTAGTGACTATTTAATAAAAATAACTACTGTCTGGAGCAGACACTGAAAGTAAGGTCTCTTTACCCCAGAGCAGCATGTTTACAGTCTTCTCACTTCGTGGATAATTAAATATTATACGATACAAAGGAGTACACATTTAAGAAGCAATGAAAGAGTCCCTGACTCAGGGATATTTGATATCTTGATATTTAGAACTTTCACCCAGAAAACCTAGATTAAAATCTTTGGCGTGAATGGGCACTGCACCTGGCTCTCACTTCCTGGGTGCGCTAGCGCCTAGGCATCTGCGTAGCTCGTCTGTGCTGCTGCTCAATGCGTGTTGTGATTTATTTGCTATAGTGCCTCTGGCCAGCGCTCCAAGTTGGGAATCCAGCGTGAAGAAAGGCAACACAGAGCCTGATGCCTGCTGAGCAAAGGCTACCCCTTTCCCTTTTCAGCACACCGACCAGCTGCTGCAGGAGCTCTCTGTTCCCCATGATGCCGGTAGTGGCTCCTGTACACACCTCTTCCTGTTCGCTCTCTAGAGAGCTGAGACCCTCAACTCATGGCTTGAGTTGGTGCTAACAGGTAAGAACTGAAATGCTCAGAGTCGTTGTTACCTCAGTCCTTTTGTGGGTCTAGTCCTCAGTCTAGACTTTCTGTGGGTCTGGTGCGCGGTCTTACGGGACAGCAGGACAAAACCTCACTCCTTACCCCATCCTCACCCTGATTCTGAGCAATCTGAATTATAAAGCAAAAGGGAAGACTATATGCTCATAAAATACCCATTGTGCTAACCCTCACAGTCAGTCAGTCAGTCAGTCAGTCAGTCAGTCAGTCAGTCTCTCTCTCTCTCTCTGTCTCTGTCTCTCGGAGAGCAGGGCTACCTCAGCCTATGCCAAAAACAAATTTTTTAAAGTGGACCAATAAATAGGCAGAACATTACATTTTCCTGAACCAAATAAGCAGAGGTGGTGCATGAAATCGTGCAGCAGCAAGCCGGGCAGCCGGAGTGAATCAGGAGAACCAGTGACAACATGGAGGAGGAAAGCCCTCTTGGCAGTGCTCCCCGATCAGGAAGAACGCCTTTCGCATGCATTCCAGCAGCATCCTACCCACCCGTCCTGACAAAACCTTTCAGTCAATAATGAATAACAGTGGGAAGCCTATGACCAAAGTGCTTCATCTGGCAGCTCAGCCGTCTCATCTAGGGTGAATATTAAACACACTATCTGAAAACGAACTGCTCTTGAATTTCTCTAGTTACCACATTTTGGCTTGCGTGGGTAAGTCCCGTGATTGAAGTGCCTCACATATGAATAGGAAGTATGTATGATGCATAATCATGTATTAATAGGAGAGAAATATAAAGTCGTCCTCCCCTGAAAGGAAAAGCACCTGTTTTCAGTTCTAAATGCACTATGAGTACAGAGGTCAGCTGCTAATAAGAACTGAGGGCAGGAGAGAATATGGCCGCTTCAAAAGCTACCCCAGCACACAAGCCATTACATTCCCCTTCTCTGTTTGTAGGTTAAATTCAGCTGCCTCCCCCCGCTAAATTGCTTATGCTGTGCACAGCTGCTGACCTGACTGTCAACCTTTGCACATCATGTTTACTGTAAGTGCAGGATGACTGATGTCTATAAATTATTGTACTTATGTTACCTTCATCCATTATTACATGGTCTTTGGAACGGGCTTCATTTTTAACTCAAAGTCAACCCATTAAACCTGCTTAAATTAATATATGACAATCTTCTAACATGTATACTGATAAGTGCGCATAAGCATTATGATATGTTAGGAAAGGAGAGGCCCTTTTCTGCTCTGTTCTTGCTATTGCAATGCCAGGCTTGGCCTACACGGGACGGCGAAGCTGTAACATGCTGCAGGGCTGTCCCTCTGCAACAACAGTGACGGTAAAGGTTAAGCCTGCCGCAGACTATTGTACCCAGCGGCCCTGCTTGGCTGGTCTTCGCAGTCTAATTGCCACTGACCCTGTGACAATGAGGTAATGTCTCTGACTCTCGGGTCAGATAAATACTACTCATTTTAGAACCACCAGACATGTTACTGAAAAACAGATAGGAAACAACCGAAAGTCCCATGATCAGTAGAATATAAACTCTACTTACAACTGTTACTCCAGTCCTTAATTTGAATGCCCAGGGTTTTTTCAGCCTGATGGTCATTAACATATATATCGAGTCACAGAACCTGGTTGGCCTTCTGCTAGGGATGCCTCACCTTTCTCATATCTTGCTTTGGATGGACTCAGACTGTATGCGTTCACTGTAATTAAGAGAGAAAGGTCAGAAAACTGTCAGGAAAATCCATGAGTGGGAGGATGTAATAAGAAAGAAACAACACAACTGAAGATTATTCACACATAGATTTTTAAATCCCGGCAAGTTTTGGACTGTCTGCTGCTTAAACCACCAAAATAAGCAAGATGAGAGTTTAAATGAAGAACTGTTTCTCAGTTTTTCTCACAGGGATTAACAACTAGCAACTCTCACTGAAGTTGGAGGGAGCTGTCAATGAAACCCAGATGAAACCCAGAAATGAAGTCCTGGCCTCGCTAGGCTGCTGGCAGTATTCCTACTGATGCCACCATGGCCACGGGGCCCTCCCTCTACCCACCTCTGTGCCATGATAACCAGCATCTTTGCGGACCGACGATCGAGTAACGCCACAAAGATGATGACTTTGCATCCCTTTTGAACCCATGAGCAGCACCGGTTTGAAAAAGGAGAGCTTCAGCACTGTGAGCACAGGCCTGAGATGGAGGACTAGAGCGGCAACAGCAGCCCTCAGTTCACATATAACCTGCTACCATCTAAAGCCTCACCTTAGAGCTGATCTCAGTGTCCCTGTTCGGAAAGAGGTGACTTCGCCTGCAAAGCAAGACGGGGAAGGTGAATTGCACTGAAAGTGAAAAGATGTTTTTCTGGAATAGTAAAGCAGCATTTCCTAAGCAGCTTTACCTTCCCAACAGAATTATTCACACCTATTCCCTAATTACATGGGTGTCACACTGGCACGACTGCACTGCTTCCCGCTCCGCAAGCATGCTCAAGCCCTTTCCGTATCCTCAGGTTGGCAAAAGCTGGGACACTAAGATAAACCCCACTAGAGAGGCATACAATCTATGTGTTATTTCACAGTTTTAAACTAGAACCTTTGTGGAATAAAACAAAAAAATACTTAGAAAAATAAATCCAGAATAACCTAAATAACTCTCTTCTTCTTTTCAGTGAAATAACTATCATCTTCTTCTTTTCAGTGATACATTCTTATTTTACATAAAAGAAATGCATTGTTGCTATCTGGATTTACTATTCTTGAGACTTTTTACTTACTGAGCGATCTTTGTTGCAGCTTTAAGAAGTTTGGGACTATGCTTTAAGATCTTGAGCGATACTGTGATTAAAAACACTTTTGCTGTTCCTTAACTGATATTTACAATAATTTGGGAATGTAAGTGTCTGATTTAAATTGCTAATCAGCGTTTCTCTTATGTTTTTTTTCCACTCTAGCCATAACTCAGCAGTGTTAATTTGCATTGGTCTGACATTTTGCATATAAGCTGCATAAAAGCCATTTAAATAGGAAATGGTCAGATATTTTGTAGCCCTTCTCTGACCTTCTCCTACATTCCTGTACTACCACGATTCTTTTCTGCACTTTTTTTTTGGTGGGAAAGGAGAATCCTGGCTCAGGATGTAAGGATATAAACTTTTGCTATATTTCTGCACATTATCACCACCTCTCTACACCAGCACTATTGTTATTTGGGGCTGTCTCTTGCACTAGCAAAAGAATTTCCAATACAAAGATGCACAACATCCACTTTTTGTGCATTTAATAGACTTCTATCAGTTTGGCTTCTATAGAAGAAGCTCTGCTTCTATAGCAGCAAAGCTCTAGAGGAGATTTATAGTCTTGTGCACACGTCAAGTGTTCTTTGTTCTGTTTTTCTACCATTGTTGACTATTATTTCTTTGGTTGGAAAGATGCTGGGTTACCTACACAGAAGCTGGTGTTGAACTTCAGAGTACACAAGTTGGAGCAAAAACGTGCTAGTTCTGCTCTTCATCCTCGCAGGTAAGCCTCTATTGCAGGAGTTGCCAATTCTAGTCCCAAAAGCTGGCTAGCATCAAATGGAAGGACTGGTGCAAATACATTTACATGCGTTTGGAAAAGTCACTGATACTTGTAATGACTATTTGCTGAAACATTTTACAAGAATGCTTTAAAATAAGTAGCCTCATGTAGCACTAAACTTCCTTCTCATTTAAGACCTTTTCTCCAAAAGCATCCTTCTTAAATGCAAGCTTTGTCTATACTACCAGGAAAACAAAAAATCAAAATAAATGCAGCCTTATCAGCCCTGTTTATTTTACTTCTGCATTCATTTATTAATAGCTCAGATAATAGATTTTTATATATACCAACGCAATATTAAGTAGCAAGTTCAGAAACTTGCTAACCCTCAAAAGCTCCTACTACATACCGAGGCCAAGGAGGATGCAAGAAGTCCCAGGATCTGCCCCCTCGGAGTTCTTACTTTATTACTCTGACATGGGAAACCTGCCCATATGAAAAACAGTTTTAGTACTCTGATAATTATTTTGAATGGGAAAGACAGACAGTGACAACTTCTTCAAAACCCTTTGACATCCCAATCATGTGAAAATATTTAAATGGCAGAAAATGAGCGTGCTGTCTGCTTCATTTGATTCTCGTTAAAGATTATCAACTTCTTCCTTATTACTGGAACAAACATGAGCACAATTAAACTACAATATTAAAGTTTTAAAGAGCTATAGTTTCGAATGCATTTGGTATACACTGCCAATATTAAAGGAGGTTTAAGTGAAGCATCAGTATCTATTCCGTACAGAACTTTAAAAAGATGAAACAACTTTTTTGTAAGGATTACATTGCGGAGATAAGACATCTACAGCAGATAAAGCAGCAAAGAACTCAAAACCCTGCCAGGCTTCTTTCTTAAGGAAAGAAAGGACACTGAGCAAGCAAAGGTGCTAAATTACGCATTTCTGCTGAACTAAGCCAATGCATCAGTTGGGGCAGAATAAGCATTTATGACCAGCACAGATTGTAACTAATGGAGGCTGGTGCATCAGTCACGACACTTTAATCATAATTCTCCCACTAGGTTTGAGGTATATGAACTCTACCATCTCGTGGTATGAAGACTCAGTCTGGGAAATCGCATCATCTTTGCCTAGCCGGCGTCAAGTGGATCAGGCAGACGTCTAAGCAAATGCAATTCTGCGCTGCTATGCAATAAGCTGCAGGATAACGGCTTAAGAAACTGCCCTTGTGTATGCCTAAGCTAAACAGTTTTAAATAGACTATTAAATATAGAATATTACATATTTAAGCATGAATATTGGCTTCTGACAAGCAGAAAGCTAACTGAACTTTTTTTTAATTATTGTGGGAAGCCAAACTTGGCAATTATAATAGCTGAAAAATCACACAAGCGCACGCCGAGGCCTTTCCGGACGGCGCGCAGTCTCACGCGTTGGCCCGCTGTGCCCCCCGAGACCCGCCGGAGGCCGAGCGGGCGCCCGGCGGCCTCTCCTCCGCCGCCACTTCCCGGCCCAGAG